TGGGGAGACAAATGTTATCACTCTGAACATCCCCCCATTCCTTCTTCCCTCAGCTTTATATGCTGAGCGTGACGTCATGACGTCCCTTGGGTCAGTTGGGGTCAGCTGTCCTGGCTGTGTCCCCTCCCAGCATCTTATGCATCCCCAGCCTGCTCGCTGGTGGGGTGGTATGTGAAGCAGAAAAGGCCTTGATGCGGCATAAGCAGCCCTCAGCAGAACCAAAACATCCCTGAATTATGAACACAAATCCAAAACATAGCCCCATACTAGTTACTATGAAGAAAATTAACTCTACTCCAGCCAAAACCAGCTCAGGCTTTTTATCTGAGATTTAAGGTGTCCCTTCTCATTAATCTTTGTAGTCTGTGTGATTTCTTGTGGCTACAGACTACCGTGCTTTTTGTAGAAATCATAATTCTGTAATTATAGTGCAGTGTTCTGCCTGAGACTGTCTTTATGGAGCAGTAGAAGAGACACTTTGTACCATACAAATTATAAAGAACACAGTAACTCAGGGTTAGCAAAACTAATGAGAAAGAGGCAAGGCTGCTTTGCAGAAGCTTAATGACTTGGATTTTAATTTCCACCACAGATCACCGGAGCTGTGAGCAAACTTGACACAACTGAAAGCAGAATCACGGAGTGTTACGTGGTCCATTGAATCACCTCTGGCACAACTACTTCTCTGACCCCTGATTAGATCCAGGCAAACATCCACAGCAGTTTCCTCTGGGGCTGTGGTCAGCTCTTCCCTTGCCTGCCTCTGCATGCCCAGTGGCTTAATGCCACCACCAAGAAACATGCAACTTTGTGAGAAACAGAGTCATATTTTGGGGATCTCCACATTGATCCTGGGTTGCAAACAACTGATGAGGCTTGTCTGGTGTCTTGATTTATTTCTATTTGTTCTTCCATGACAACTACATGCTCTATACCTGTTTAACTGGTTTAAATCAAATTTAAACACTAAGCAAGATTAAAACAACAGAGCTGTACAACAGAGCTGTGCTCTTGATTACAAAATTAAAGATGAGGTTACAAAGAAAGAAATAAAATTATAATGTAATATTTCAGGCTATGATGTACAATAAAAGTTCTCCCTAGCTTTTACGGTATTTTAGCTATCTAGAGGGAGCATGGGCAAAGTAAGGGATGGTGTATCTCCAAACACCTCTTTTTTCCCAGCTTCAAGATAGAAGCCCTTCTGCCTTCCCCATCTTAATGATTTCAAGCCTATCATGTCCCTGAAAAATACTATTCCTCCTAGTTTGCATGACTTTCTTGCAAGACATTTCTTGCAAGACTTACTCAATCATGTCCCGTTTTGTAAGGCCCAGTTAGACCTAGGCAATAATCATGACACAATAATGATTAACAGGACGGATTACAAACTTAGTATTTAGAATTTTCTTTCTAAATAAACTCCCTTTCCCACCTCCTATTAGTTTGGTATCCCTGCTGCCATAACATCTACCGTGTGGTTTAAGTCCCAGTTTCCTCCATCTACTGTTTGCTCAGCTTAAAATGGGAAAAAAAAATGTCTGTAGGATCACTGTCCAAACCATTCGAGGAAAGGAGGGTGACAACGTGCCAAAGAAATTTTGCGGCATAGTAGCTGACAAAGGTTCCTAGCAAGCAACAATAATAATATGTGTAAAGTGGATTTTTATTCAAGATTTCCTTAGGCAGCCCATTCCTTATCAAGAGATACTATTTCATGATAAAATCATTATGTATGTTTAGCAAAACATTTCCATTGTACTCTTAATAAAATGTCTTTTTCTCCTGAAAGTGTTTTGAGATTAATGTATACCAATGTGTGAAAACATGATTTTATCTTTATAGGAATTTGTTATGAATAGTCTTTGAAAATGTCTCTCTCAAGCTGCAGGTTTTCCCATTCAGTCTGCACTGTTTGTACTTATCATCTCTCCAGTAGCATCTGCAGCCAAGGCTTTCTGGAGAATCAAATCACAGCATTTCAAATGAAATGTAAAATCCTTGGTGATGGACCTCTTCAGTAGACTGGATGTAGCACTAAATAAAAATTGATTGATTTTGTTTCAGCAAAATGCTAACATGCATTTCAATATGAACCCATCTGCCAATCTGGCCCTGCAGTTGTACTCAGTAGTGACTGTTCTACTTGTAAGTGTACTGTGGTGATGGTTTGGGATCTCAGCCATATGGCTGGACCCTGTTGAATAAGCCCACAACCAATACCAGTCTGAAAAACTCTGAAATACATGTTTGGCTTTAAAAAACTAAGAAAGTGAAATCTTCCCCTCTGAAGAATGGTCACATACAACTGAAAATTAATTCCCTGTAAAGGCAAACCTGCACATTGGTTATGCACTGTTGTGGTTAAGGATTTAGCACAGAGCATCCCAGCATTGCAGACTGAGTTTATGTTAAATTACGTTTAAAGCTTTCAAGTTTGAAAGGTAATTAAAAAGATATAAATAAAACATTACAAAATAAATACCTGCTTCATATAGCAGCTTGTACTCTTATCTACTTAATTGCAATAGTAATGGTGAAAATATAATGTATTGCAGTGGAGGGCGTAGTTAAGGGACGAGAGTTTCATTGCGCCAGGACTTGACAAAATAAAACAAAAATATGGTCCTTTCAACAAAGCCGTTGTCAATGCATCAGTGGAAGTGATTATTTAAAATAGGTGTCTAGCTTGCAGTTCTTGAGCTGTGTGAAGCTCACAGAAGATGTAAGCGTGGTGCCAGCCTGGGAATTGCATGCCATGACTGATGGCCGGCTGGTGCTGGCAGGTAGGCTGCTCTGTAACCAGCATGCCTGGCTGGGGGAGGAAGCCTGACAGCAGAGACCACTGCAGCCACGTTATTTGCCTGGACGGTGACACAGCTGCATACTCCCCCTGGTCTCGTTTTGGGGTAGTGAGGTGGCTGGGGAGCCTTTCTCACTGAAGAGATATTTGTCTCAGTTAGTACTTGAATTTTGTAGTAGGTTCCCTGTAGCTCTCACAGGTCTTTTGCTTGTTGTGTGTTCTTTGTGTTTTAGGCTTATAACTTGGGTAATATTCAGAGAATGTAAAGCTAGGTGACTAAAATACTTATTTAATTTATAAAGACATGCAAGCATTTCTAAAAGGTCATTCAGGGTACTTCAGTTAGCTCCTTAACAAGGATTGCATTACTATATTCCTGACTTTTTGTCTAAGTCGTGCTTATTTCATGTGAGTTTATTCAGGAATGGGAATTAAAAACTATTTTGAGAGTCTGCCAGCATCTAGCATATCTGTAGCTCCCAGGAGAAGGAAATGAGGATGTCCAGGTACGTCTGCAGCAAGTGGAAGTCCATCTGGATCGTGTACTAACAGATTATTGACAAAGCACTCATGCACCTAGGCCATAAGCAATACTAACATTGAGGGAGCACCCTGACAAGTGAGAGATGGAAAGAGACCTGAGACCATCAATGAAAATACAATTCTAGACCTTTTTTATCTGTGTTGCTTTATCACTAGGTAAGTTTTCAGAGAAAGATCTTGCAATTAATTAGCAGACTTTTCTTGCCCATGCTTGTTTATGATACAAAGATTATTGTGATTTCTCTAGAAATAATTTTTAATATTCAACCTGGAAATTGCCAGTTTGTCTAAATAGGGTAAATAGTAATACATGCAGAAAACCAGCTGACCTAGCCTAACTGATTAATTCACAAAGCTATATATCTGTGTTATGAATGACCATTTTATCCCCTGTTCACTGCTCACACATGCATGTACACACATACACACAAAATCTCGGTTACAACTTTCCTCCTGGGATGCATTAAAGTAAATGGAAAGTTGCTTCTTTTTCCAAAGCTTCTCATTCTGCATTCTTGAGAGAGGCAGAATTAAATGGAGGGGGTGGGATTAAAAATATGGAAGGCAATAGTATGCATTTATTTAAACCTGAAGTATTCTTCTGTTAATTCAGATGTTCAATTTAAATCTGAATAGAGAATAAGAAATTACACACATTATAACACTTCGGACTTGGGTGTGGGCCAGTGGTGTTATATATAAGCAGTGTTGTTCTTCTGGAGATTCAGCATGCTCCTCATTCATATTCATCCCGTGCTAACCAGAGAAATAATAGCGTTATCACCTAGTTCAGTAATCAAATAATGGAAAACTGATCTCCGGGAGTTTTGACAGGAATGGAAAATTGTTTCTTATTGCATTTCTTAGCTGGAATACTAAGGACTCAGCTGTGGTGCATTAATGAGTGATATTTTAATAAATTTCTGAATCTGGATACATAAGCATCCTGAAAAAAACTAGAATTAGCTGTTTCACTCTCACATTGGCTCACCATATCACCTATATCTTACATATTTCTTTTCTCTTTGCAATGTAATGCTACCTTGCACAGAATGTTGACCAGCATGATAGCTAAAGTACTGTTATAGTTCTTGGATATTATTAATTATGGTATTTCTCCAGTGAAAATGTATTAGGGGACTGTTAGGAGCATGTTAATTGTGCCTGCATTGCTTAGCTTTATTTATTAGATTTTTTCTTGTGATATAAATATACTTCTAATAGACATGGCTACACTTTCAGAAGAAATGAGGTAGCTGTGACAAGTAAATTTGAAGACAGATAAATTACATGTGAGGCAATGTATGAAAAGAAAACATGTGCCCGAAGTGAGGCAGTCACCAATCTAGTTTTCTGCCCATCTGATCTCCCATGAATTCAGTGTTACTATGCTGAACATGTAGTAGCAACACATTTGTGTATGACTGAATATGATGTTAGGAACTTCAAAATAAATGTACAAATAACTTGCTCTACCTCCTGAAACTTGACACAACTTATCAATAAAACCAAAAAGGATGTAGAAGAATCAAGATGTTAGGGCTTTTTTGAGCATAGACAACTTTGTACCATATAGTGACATTAAAAACTTCAAATTTTCAGACAGTTTCAAGAGAGCACTGAAACATGTATCTTTCCTGTCTATCCCATGCAGGGAATTACTGGAATGCAGCTTCTTTCGTTACTTCATCATCCTACCTTCACTTCTCCACCTTCCAAGGGGAAACCAGCGCAGACATCTCTTTCTATTTCAAAACATCGGCCTCGGATGGGGTGTTTCTTGAGAATCTGGGGAACACTGACTTCATTAAACTAGAGCTGAAATGTAAGTATGTATGTTCTTCCCATCACCCTTCTTGGCACTTGAAATGGGTTTGTGTCAGATGGTAGGTTTCAAGAAATGTCTATCATTCAGTAAAATGTGTAAGCTCACTAAATTCTGGAAAAACTTCCAAATCAAGCTGTTTGACATATTTTCAAGTTGCCTTATGTGGGAGGAGCACTTGAAGTATAGTTGGATTGTTTACTGGGGGGAGAAATACAAAGAAGGATAGAACTGGTAACATCAGTTATAAAAATTACACTGACCTTAGAAGATTTTTCAAAATTGCATGCCAGATTTATTTCTTTAAAGTGTGTGTTTTCAGTTCTATGTGCTTTTCTACTTTATCTCACAGTTGCTTTGGAAATAGGGGAAGGAAAGAAAGAAAAAAAAAAAGAGACCATCCTAATCAGTACTGTAAGGAATCAACGAGCTGAAAACCTGTATATAATATTTAAAAATCATAAAAAACTTTATAAAAATAAATCTTTATCAGCATTACCTGTTACTAGCATTTCTGATCTGAAAAAGAGGGTATAATGATATCAAGAGGCAAGTTAATTTTATTATTTAAAGCACTTCTAATGGCCCAGGGGCAAACTTTCCAAGGAAGGTGTCAAAATCTTCAGATGTACCTGAATTCTGATTAGTGAAATTGAAGCATTTGAATTAGGAGGGAAAAAGTGGTTTATGCTGCCTTTGTTCTCCCTCGACCTGATTTACCCTGCGGTAAACAGGAGCAGTGACAGGCCTGCTGTGCTGCATTCAGCTATTACTATAGCCTCTAGCAGCACATTACAGCAACGGGGTTATATAAATGCAGGAAGCTGCTTCCCTGCACTCCAGCACTGGGAAAAGCATTTGTGCTTCCCTCTGCTGCAGGAGCTACTCATAGATGCCACGAACCCTGCTCTAAACGCTGATGCACAAAAGTCAGTGTCAAAAGTCACTAATGTTGAAAGAGAATGAATTGTTTGCATACCCCAAATAATCTATTTTTTATGCAGATTCAATGTGATTTACACAGACATATTTAATTTTAAAAGAAAAGACTAATTTCCACACTTCCCAAATGCTAAACACACAAATTAGAATGTGGAAAGTTAGAAACCACCAGGAGGCCCCTTTACAACGTGACTAAGTTTTCCCTCCGGGTACGAGTAAAGTGCCAAGTTCCAGGTGGATGACAGCTTCTTTGCCTCTTTCTACAAGAAATTTAGTTAACGCTACTTAATCCAAGTTTTCTGTCACCAGCAACTGCTGCAAATCAAAATAGCTCCTATTATGAGCCATAGGGAATAGTCTCATTTGTATTAACAAGAGGTGCAGCCCTTTAGTAATAAAGTGGCAGCTATTTCTAATTTCACTTTGAATATAAGTAGTACTTACAGTCAGCTGAGGTGGGCATCTCCAGACCTTCTTGCTCTTCTACTATATGGAAAGTGTTCTCAGCCACTGTAGTTACCAGACCAGCCGTGCTGCTCACTTAGCTAAAAGGTGACAATAACAGTGAATAAAGGTGACTTGGCAATGAGTGTAATTCTTTTGAACTCAGCTCAGTTTAAATAATCATGCTGCAGTGGCTCGCTGAATGGATGCGCCGGTTCAAGAAAGCATGTGGCAGTGTACCCAGAATATCAATAAACAGGAGTCTAATGTAAAGCCTATGCTTGAGGTCCACAGACTTTGCTGTGATTTGGCACATACATAAATTCAAGCTCTGCCTCACATCCCTGAATCTGAACCTTAGATTACAAATTCTAGACGGCAGAAATTGAAATATCATCTGTAAAAACAGTCTGCAAGGTGAAACATACTATTGCTGTTTAAGGTAGTAAAATACTCTTGATTAAAACTATCCTGACTGTATTTGCTAAAAAGTACGAAGCAGTTCATTTTATATAATTGCATTCATTCTATCCTTTCTTTCCTGGAAACTATTACTTGAAATTTTCAGAGCCCCAGAAAATAGGCCTTTCTGTGACTTAAATATTCTACCCGTCACAACTCTAAAAGAGTTGAATACTGCGGGTTTAGTAAAACAGAGAAACTCATTCTCTCTTCTGAATTACACATTTATTTAATGAACGTTTGTTTTATACAGTTTTCATCTTTGCTCTGCACTTATGTTTTTTTTGGAATACATTTAAATGAAAAGTAAAGTTTCAGGGTTTCAGAAGTTCTTTCCATGTCTTACAGTTGTCTCTGCTGCTTCTTAAAAGTCTGTTTCCCCTTTACAGAAGTCCCGTAAAATTAATATGTGAATTTGTTTCTTAATAGCAACATAAAGTTAAGTCAGCAAGGTAATTACAGAATTACCCCTAAACCCCAAAGGTTTCCTTTGCCAAGCTGCTTTCTAGCTAACCCATCAAATTCCCTAGTAAAATGGCTATTTTTTTATTAAAAGTTTTTGCATAATAGCTCTCATCACGTATTTACTGCAAGCTGCAGCACTTCAGTGGGTGCGTTGCTTTTGTCTGTTCATTGCCTTCTCCTACAGGTACAATTCTTGTTGAAGAAGAATGACTCCCTACAAAACCTGTTCTTGATTTCTCTACTTTTTACAGTTCCAAAAGGAAAATGTTGAAATCAGTGTCCTGCCAGCAGACAGTGCAAATCCTATTTTATTCGTCCATTACGTGTGAAATACCTGTGTGTACCTATAATATATGGTTAGTGATGCATAAGCTTAGCTTTACAGACCGGTAACTGAAAGGCTATACAATATCCAGTATTTTAATCAGCTTGCTGAACTTGGTGAATGCATTAGGGAAACAAATCATTCAGTCTATAAAAATTCTTACCTTCAAGTCTTCAGAAAGGAGTTTGCTATTGCATGTTTTATTCTGAGCACAAGAGTTGTCACTAGGAATGCTCATTAAATTATTTTACTATCGTGCTGTCTTGGAACTTCTTAAGGTCTAACAACTGCACAGATTATTTTTTAACTCTCTTGATTGATAAGAAAAGAAAGTGGAATTTGCAGTATAATGAAAAGTAACTTCATGTGCCTTCAGCAAAGCCCAAAATTGCCATCTCTGAGGAAAGGAGGAATGCAGGAAGGAAGGGAAGAACATGTTTTTCTGATTTAAGAAATAACTTTTCCAAACAGCTGACAAGGAAGACTGTCATGAAAAAAAACAGTGATAAAAAGCTACTCTGAATGTGGCTTAAGTCTTTCGTTATTCCATTTATCAAGTAGCTCCTCTGTCAAGCTCGTACATTTCACCATTCATGGAACAGTTGGCAGAGATGTAGAACTACCTGAAGCCTCAGTTTCTACATACATCAGTAAATCTACAGAACCCCATTATGTTAATAGCTGGCTGGTCAGCTGACAGGGATTAGGATTGCTTAGAAAGCGGGTAGTGGGATAAGGTATACATTTTTCTGTAAAACAGTGCTTCCAGAAACCGTACGTCTCTGGTCAGAATTTTCAGATATTTTTTAAATTAAAACTGGTTTTTAGAGGAAGAAAAAAAAAAAAAAAAGGATGTTTTCTCTTTCCTGTACAGTTTTTGGAGGGTTTAACCTAAAATCTAGTCTTCCTATAAAAACACCATTGAGAACACAATTTTTTCATTTGTACAAGCCACTCCTCCCCTCACCATGGGCATTTTTACCTTCTTTAACCTTGAAATACCTTTTAGGACACAGAGGTATGGAACCTGCTTTCTACAAAGCCTGGCAGGGCAGCAGTCTCAGACAGTTTGTTGTCAGTGCTTTTCATAAAAGCCATCCACCACAAAGTTTGAATGTCATGTCAAGGAACTGTTCAGTGTCTTTCTCGGAGGCCCTCATTTACTCTTCCAGTGTGCACCTAAAAGCACCTATGAAATTTTGTGTCCACTCTCCATATAACCGTACTGTGTACGTGCAGTAGAAGTGGCACTTGCTCTGAGAGGTGATGGGCAGTTGGCTATAGTATGCAGTACTTGCGTGAACTGAAATAAACTGCGTGGCCCGTCAGATATGTGTATCAGCTGTAAAAGACCCACCTACTACTGCTAACCAGTTTAGCTAGCCACTGCCCTAATTAACCGTTGGCCGTGACCTCTGTCCCCTTGTTGCAGTTGGTGGGACCTGACCTAGCATGCGTGAAACAGGGACAAAACAACAGCCTGTATGTCAGCCAACAGCAACATGGATCCTCCAAGTCTTTACCAGCAATCCTAATGTTCTTTTTTTTAAAGCACTTCAGGGTTGAATATTGCCAAACAAAGCATGCCAAGAATTTAATTTTGAATTCTTGAAGACTCACAGCTCCCTTCACCATTCAGTTCTTTCCTGCAGTCACTCCTCCCTGGAAATGGTAGCTTTGCATAATGGAGCTTGGCTAGAGCCGTTGAGGTGCACGGAGACAGACCTCCAGGATTTAACTCGAAACTCTGCAGTAGGCAGGGAGCTACCTAAAATCCAGCTGAATATCAACATATCTGACTAGGGTCAAATGGGCAAGAGTATGGATTTGTTCATTTATGAGATGTGGTTTGAAGACTTTGGACAGTTACGACTATGAAAGACCAACTGCTTCATACCCGTGAGGTGTTTGTCAAATAGACCACATTTAAATTTTCTAATCAAGAGAAATCCCAGGTTTTGGAAGAGATTAATTCCTCAAAGCAAATTTTGGAAGGGCCATATTCCTGAGTATTTGGGAAGAAGCATCTATCATCACTATTTTGTATCTGATTCCCAGGACTGTTGCTCTAGAAAACCTGTGATGGATTAAACTGTTTCCACAGAACTCTCTTAATGGCACTGTCATATAATTCTCATGAAAAGATAGTCTGCTCGCTTTTGTAGCTCCTCTCAATCCCAGCACTTCTAAGCAATTCACAGACACTAATGAATTGTGTCTCACTGTTACTATTCTGAAGTAAGTAAACAGCAAGTCAGTTTTGCAACAGAAAAAAAAAAAAAAAAAAAAAAAAAAAAAGATGAGGCTTAGAGAGATAAAGGTCAGATTGTGTTTGATCCTGGCATGAGCATGTAAGAGTGGA